GCCACAGCATGGCTTGATGAGTGGTGTGTAGGCCCGTGCCTGGGATCCAAACCTGTGAACCCCGGGCCGCCGAAGTGGAGCGCTCAAACTTAACCACTACACCATCAAGCCAGCCCCTTTGGAGACTTTTTTTTTAAGGAGAGGGTCAATTATTTTAAATTTCCCCCCTATTTCAGAACATTTACCCTTGGCTAACAGAAACATTAAATCAAAGGAGTGGTAAGGACAGACCATATACTGGGCTGTGAGATCTTAGGATGATACTCTCGAAAACATTTCAGACTAATTCAAATGCTCATTTTTAATAGAGGGGACCCATATCTCTCTACTCTTCTTGGTATCATATCTGGGAAGAGATTTCTGCTCCACTCTCAAGGAAGGAGCTGAATTAGAGAGAAGACTTCTGTGTCCTCCTTCCACCCTTCACTTTTTCATCTTCATGGAAAAATTTATCTATTAAATGACATTGCTGCGAGTTTGACATTCATTTAGCTACCCTTCCATACAGGAGGCAATTAACGTGTTCAGGGGATGGGGATGGGGATGCGGATGGGGACACCTCTTGACTGTTATTCTCTTCAAAGCCTTAAACGTGTTTTTGAAAAATCTGATAAACCACCTCACACCAAACTGCTCTATTGTAGATGAAAATCATTTCATAAACAAAGTTACACCAAAGTTTTCAAATGCCGCCTGAACAGGAAAACTTGTAAAAACAGTACTAACCAAAGATATGGTTTAAAAAAAAAATGGTTTACAAATTATACATTATATACAATGTGTATGATATTATATAAAACATAATTGACTGTATATAAATGCACAGAATAAGATGTTTACTGTATTTTCCTCTTGGTGGAAGAGAATGGGTTGAAATATGAAAATAATTCTGTATTTTTAAAAATAAGTATATATTCATACATTACATTGATAATAAAAGAAACAAATAAGTACTTTAAAAATTAAATACTTACTGTGTAATTGAATTTTGAACACTCTTTTCATTTAAAGTCATCCCGGGAGGTGGGTCATTTTGCAAAGCCAACAGTTCTTTCTGCAGTCGTTTCTAGAAAAGAGTATCAATAATAATTTATACCTTTTTTTCAGAACATAATATTCTTCTAGTTATACAGTCTGAAATCCTTGATTAAATTTCCTCAAATGTTCATACCTTTTCCTTTACAAGCCCCTTACATTTCAATGTATTTTATATGCCTAATTTGCAAATTTTGAATTGCTTGTACCATAATTCACAATCTATTGTCAAAGTATTTCTAAATATATTCGTAAAGACTGATGCTGCAAAGCGCTTACGAAGAGCAGCCAGCTACCTACAAAACTTCACAGGTACTCCATTGAGGTTAGAAGGTCTCAGCCTAGGTTATAAGTTCTTAAAAGCTTTTGGGAGTGCTTCCTTTACTGCCTTTCAATTATAAAAACCACTGTTCTCCAAAATCCTTAAAGATTGTGTCATTTCAGACAAACAAGCTATCCCGAGGAACTATACAAGTAACCTTTCACGCAAAAAACCCTTGTAAAAAAGTTTAAAATAATTTTAATTTACAATTTACAGTCCATATTTCTGTTTTCTTAAATAGGATCACCTGCACATAATTTAATCTTTCAACACCAGAATATAACATATCAGGGCCCAAGAAATGTAGTTATTTTTCCACATACTAAATGCCCCAAAATGGCTATGTATTTTGCATTCTTGTTTGCACAGCTTTTATTGTTCAACTCTTCCCTTGTTATTATCAGTGGACATTCTTTTTCAGTATACAACAAAGCAAAACAAAAACTACAACAGCCCATAATTTATGAGCTTAAAAACCAAATAACCAATGTTATTACAATTGCATACAACATTACAAAGACTCTTAATGAGCATCTCTTCTTGGACTAAAGTGAAGAAACATGAATATCTGTTCGGAACGCAAGAATTCTCTGCTTAAAGGCTAGTTTCTGCTTTTTCTGGACAGGGAAATATTACTATCAATATAGCAATGTTTCTAGATCTTATCAATTCACGACATCTTTATTTTTTTTATTTTTATTTTTTTTGTGTGAGGAGGACTAGCCCTGAGCTAACATCCGTGGCCATCTTCTTCTACTTTATATGGGACACCACCACAGCATGGCTTAACAAGTGGTGCGTCGGTGCGCGCCCAGGATCTGAACCTGCGAACCCCGGGCCGCCGCAGCAGAGCGCGCGCACTTAAACGCTTGCGCCACCGGGCCAGCCTCTCAATTCACATCTTTAAACAAGCTTAACATCATCCAACACCACTACAGATTAGAAAACTCCTCCATTCTTTGTTGAGAATCACTGTAATAGAACTTTAATAAATGGCTATTTTAAGTTGCCAAGAATGAAACTTTTCCTCAGATCTTGCGATATGGTAAGTGCTAGCAACAATGAAAATAAGATATATCAACTACTTGCCTTCCAAATACAAAATAATTACAAATTGAAAATTAGTTAAGAAAAAGTTTAATTATTCAAAACAGAACTAAAGCTGCCTAAATGACATTTTGAATAAAGAAAGAATATATTTATAATAAATTTCTACGTTAGAATAGGGTTTTTAATTTATTCTACTTATGTTAACAAATGTGGGTTCTGTGATCAAGTAAATTTTAAAAAACACGGGGTTCCACAAGGAAAAATACATTTCTTCAATGCAGGACTTCTCAGAGACTTCTGATATACGAACTTGCACAATGATTCTCCAAGGGAAGAAAGTAACATAAAGAGGTTTCCAAAAGTAATGGAATCCTCTCCGAGTATAGCATCTCAGAAAAGTCTTCTTTCAAAGACCACATTTTGGGAAACACTGTTGTGGAAATCTTCCAGATCTTGAGAACTTTACTAAGAGAGGGAAGACAGCCCTTGTTACTTAATCAAGGATATAAAGGAGAGTCAATCTGCATAGTTAACAACTGAAACAAAAGGATATAAAGGCAAGCTAAGAAGAGTTTTATTGATGTAATTATCCCTAGGTCTCCTGAACAGAATGGTGAAGGGTGCTATGGAAAAAGATACTTTTTCCCCACCCTGACACTACTTCTTATATGTCCACAAAGGAAGGGAGCTGAGGTAGTGAAACTCCAAGAGAATCAAGTAACTCTGCTTCGTCGTATTCACATCCTTGTGTACTTCCCTCCCACACCAGAGTTGGTCTGTGCGACCAGTAGAATATAGCGGAAATGATGGTATGTCAGTCCCAAGATTAGGTTGTAAAAGACTATGGCTTACATCTTGGTCATTCTGTCTAGAATCACTCGCCATATTGTGAACAGCCCGATTCAGAAGCCTACATGCTAAGAGACAGTGTTACAAAAGTAGATGAGAAACAGTAGCATTAGAATAGAACACTAGCAAAAGCGATAACACCACCAGCTTATAAAACCATCATGGTAACAGACGCCTGCTTTCCCAGACAGTGGTAAAAACAGCAGCTACAGCCTGAGATAACTGGAGCTAATGGGAAATAACTGCAGCAGGTAACTACTGTAACTAAAGAAGCAGAACTACCTAGAAACCATTGGGAGGGAAAGGGGCTGAGAAATTAGAATTTCAATGGTTCACAGCCAAATATTACCCTTGTCTGTCCCTAAATCGGTAAGGTATGGTAAAACTAATCAAATATATTACAAAGGTACCATAGTTCTCTGAATCTAAGATACACCATCAATCATATGATGCACCATTATTTTATGTAACACAAGGAAACAAAAATTGCTGACAATTAAGCAATGACACCATCAATAAGATAATATCCTGATTTCAGATATGTTAAAATATGAAAAAAGTGCATTAAAACAATGTATGAAATATAGTATAATAAAAGTTTTATTTTCCTAACTCTTAAGTACCAAAACTACTTGAAAAATAAAAATTAAGTTTCTGAGTAAATTTAATATGTCTAAAATGATTCGTATCTCAATATGTAACACCTACCCCAAAATACATGATCTCAGCCAATCTTTAAATATGTACTTTATTCCCAGAAATTGCATAGCAGTACACAGACATCTACCTTCCCAGGCAAAAAGGCCTAAAGTTACTAGCAAAGGAATTTTTCTTTTTCTCACCTTATCCATCAAAAAATGGCCAGGCCCAGACCGTAAATATTTTGAAGCATCTCAAATCTAAACTAAACCTGAAAACTCTATCTAGCCCTCATCTTGTGTTGGCTCAAGTCTGGAAAACTTACAGGAATTGGAGCTCTTCTTAAGAGACCCAAGTGGGTTTATATGCTCTGAAAAAAAGATCCTGATCAGGATCCTGATAGGAAAGATCCTAAATACCATAAGAGAGAAATGATTAAACACTTTCAGAACCGGCTTGGCTTTTCCATGAGTGTAGTTCAGCCAGCACCTCCCTTGTGCTCCTTCCTCATGAAAGCAAATGAGTCAAAGTGATATGAATCCACTCTTATTACTTTTTTTTTTGGTAAGAAAACCATTGACAAATTTTGCAATTATCAATGACAAGGTATTGGGACACAATATGTCATAATACCACGGTTGAGAATCTCTACCCTAGATCACTCAACAGCCTACAATCTGTGACCTTACACTTAAGAGAGACACCAGTTCAGTTCTTAAAACTTTCTTCCACCTCAATGTATGTGAAGGATTAGTCTTGAGATTTTTTCTCCCCTATGACTGGGGCCTGCACCAGGGGTTGAGGAAAGAACTCATGTCATATGAAAAGGCTGCTCAGGAGCTCAGCATACCCTCTCTCCACTATCACCTCTCAAGAATCACTAGAGTAGCTCCTCTACACCAAGGTCAAGTGAGGGAACACAAAAAGGCCAACATAATAAAAAACAGACACATACATTATTACTGACAGCCTTATGAGATTTAAAGCCCTTGGAAGGCTCTAGCCACAGTTTATATACAAAAGACTAAAAGCAATTTAAAAGAAAGTCACTTAAAAAACTGTAATCACTACATTCTAATCAGTCTTGTTCCTTTCCCCCAACTCAAAATATCAATACCTGTCCAAACATACACTCATAATGTTAAATCAAGTTTGAACATGCCATATGCCTCCCTGGCATGATCAAGAAATGAAATACAATGGATAAAGACTAACACTTTTAAATATCAAAAATTTAAAAATAAACGTGGTAAAACTTTAAATCCTAATATAGCTCTCTGATATTATGTGTATTAAACATAATTTATCCTATTAATAACGATTACTCAGTTGTATCTTTTTTTTTTTTTTTTTGGTGAGGAAAATTGGCCCTGAGCTAACATCTGTGCCCATCTTCCTCTATTTCATATGTGGGATGACTGCCACAGAATGGCTTGATGAGGTGTGCATGAGTCCGTGCCCAGCATCCAAATCTGCGAACCCCGGGCCACCAAAGCAGAGGCACTGAACTTAACCTCTATGCCACTGGGCCAGCCTCATGATTACCCAGTTGTAATAGCCTCAGATAACAGTGAGGTCTATAAGGTCACCTCCCTTAAGGAAACAGTTCTGATAGGTTGAGATTCTCATTTTTCACTTCTGTTTTTTTACTGTCATTTGCTTTTTTATTGTCAATAATTTGTCATAATATTTAACCTCTAGCCACTGACATCCTCTTTTTCTTTCTTCTTTTCTCTCTCCTTTACCTGCTGTTTTCCCCTCCGCAACTCCACCCAGCATTACCCAGCAAAAGGGTTTCTTTATTTTGGTGAATATATCACATTATTTTGGTATAACAAATTCCAACTCATCTTCAGTGCTGGCATTAACACTGGCTAAGATTTATTGCTTCATGTGCTCTTAAACTATACTATACCACCTCACTGAAACAAGGTGGAGAAATTAGGAACAATTTCTCCAACTCCTCATAAAATGAAAAGCACAGCCCAGTAACAGGTCCACAGACCACTCAGTACAGCACAGTGCTAAACCATGGAGTTTCACCCCAGTAATGTGCTCTTTGCCTCTTCAGCTCCTGATCACTTTCATCAATGTCCATGTTTATACATTAGTTCAAGTTTTTTGCTTTTTCAGACAGCTGGGGATGATGGGTAAGATGACATAAAAAAAGT